CGATATCCACAGAGCGGCTCCAGGAGCCCTCCATCTCCGAAAATGGGAGCTCCAAAACACTCGACGCCTGGGCAGCGCTCGCGAGAAAGAGATCCATTCCTCCACACATTTGTTCTTTCGTTTCAATGTCTTCTTTTCCGGAGAAACAGGACTGTTTTTTTTTTTGTAATCTTCCCTTTACACTTCGAAAAGGGTGGAAAAGATGCAAAAATAATGAACCTATGTATTTATATTTCGTTGTTCCTTAGGGTGGTCGGACAAGCACCTCGTGTCACAGGGAGAATGTTGGTGTAGTTCATTTATCCATACATATTTCAGACATATATATATATATATGTATATAATGTAAAGATATCGTCGCGCAAATGTGGATACATGTGGTTAATTTCGTGGAAAATGTTTCCCCTATTCGACTCGTATAAAGCAGGAAGAATAAACCCGGATATAAAAAGTTGCGCACGTACTCATCACGACACGATTATCATAGAAAATTTTAGCAAAATCAGTTTGTCAATAACACGGTTTCTTCACCTCAAACATCTTATTCGCCTTCGGCTAGTCGTCCTCTTCTCACAAGTCACTACTATATTCACCTTTAATGAAGTATTTTACTGTCACATTGATAGGAAAACGAATTTCACGCAAGGGAAATTCGAGGGCTAATAAAAGGGACTTTAGGGGAAAGACTAAAAATGATAACCGAATCAAAGAAAATGAAAACAAACCCTAATAGACAAAACAAAAGAACGTATGGATAAAGGTTCTTCACTATACCCCACAACGTTATATGGATACATTTTTTTGTGTGGTTTTTTCCTCAACATCCATCCTCCCTTTCATCACCAGGAATGGAATCATAGAGATAAAACAACAGTTACGCACCTTCACTATCACAAGTGGATGTCTTTTGATGCGGACTCAGACTCTCACTGTCGATGCCTTTAATCCCCTTTTTTTAGCAACAAAAAAATCGGATTGATAACTCGGAACTCTATTCTTGTTTGTACAATTAGATAGACTCCACTAATAAACAAAAAAAAACTCATACATACTCTTGACATGCGTGTTGTTATTTGTAGTGTTATTAATTTTATTAGTCCACTACACAAACTCTGTGTGTAACCCTCACCTAGACGAGATGCACTTATATATGTATAATAACTACTTCTTTATTTCCCTTCGAACAACACCCTCTGCGAGGTGCTTCCCCACACACTCCTCTTCTACAGCGTGACGGTATTGTTAAGGATCGTCTGGACCCTCGTCGCGGTCCCCGCGCCGTCCTCCGGGTAGTCAAACAACCCCTGCAGGACGTCAAACCACCTCTCGCACATGCGCAGCCAGTCCTCGTCGTTGTAGGGTACCCGGGTGAGCTCCGGCAGCTGCATCCGGTACTCCATCTCCATCTCCTGAAGCGGGCTGTGCGGCGGCGGCGGCAGGCGGTGCGTGATATCCCACTTACTCGCGTAATGATACCACAGCGCGGCGCGGGAACGACGGGAGGACGCCGGCACGCGCGGCGGCGGTGGGGGTGGGAAGTAGCTCGCATGGAAGTGCAGCAGATTGCTGAGGATCTCGCCCTCGCCCCGCAGCCGGCCGTTTGGGGCGCCATTCGCCGTGAGAAGAGGGAGCGGCCGCAGCGGGAGGCCGTCGACGCCTTCCCCGCCGTTTGGCCGGCCCTCCGTGAAGATCCCGCCGGGATCGGGGTGGGAGGGGCTGTGGATGGCGAAGGGCGCGATTGGGGGGCTGTCGGACTGCACATTCCACCCCCCTCCTCCGGTGAGGGCGCTGGTGCTGCTCGCGGTGTAGGTCATCGAGGCCGGGGGGAACTCACGGATCGGGCGGGGATCCCCCCCCCCTTGCGGCTGCCCCTCGCGGAGGTAATCGACGAGGGAGCGGACGCTGAGGGGGAGCCCCGCCGACGCGATGAGGCGTCGCGTCGCCTTGGCGTCGTCGGGCGAGGGGCTCATCGGATCCGCCCTCCCCCCCTCCGCGGGGCGGTCGTGCACCGCGGAGAAGATCGCGCGCATCGCGTAGGGTTGGTGGGT